AAAGGTTGTATTAATTGTAATTAATGTAATATTGAAAATTGAATTACTATATTAAACAAATTATCATTCTTATTATCTATTAGATTAGCATCATTCTGATTTAATGTGAAATTTATATTATTTACATTATCTGATATAATTAGCTGAATTTGTTCTTTTAAAACTTTTTAGAAGTTTTAATAAAAATTTTGCAGGTCTTTTCAAAGACAATTATAGTAATTTTCATATTATTTTTGACAAAAATATATTTAAACCTAGCATAATCTTATATTTTTAGTCCAACTTTTTCCTATATATTATTTTTTTTAAAAAAATGACTTGTTTTCTGGAGGAAATTTTAAACTGAAGATTTATAGGAAAGAGTTTGAAATTCCTAAATTTATATATATATAATATATATATATATAATATTTTATTTACTTTACAAATTTACTTAAAGTATTAAAAATAGTTTTAATATTTGATAAAACTTTTTACTTTTTTTTTAATAAATTATATAATATATTTAATTTTAATTGAAAATATAAAAAAATTTTTTTTTTTAAAAAAGTAAAATTTAAGCATTATATATTAAAATAGGTATTTAAATTTATTTACTATTAAATTATTTATTAATAAATTAATAGTAATATAAAAAAAATAGACTGTTGCTAACTTTCTTTTCGGGTGAAGATCACCTAGGGTGATTTCACCTAAATGATTTCACTCACAATTAATTTATTAAATTTATTAAATTTGATTGGTGTAAATTTTAATATTTCTCACTTCGTAATTTGCATATAAATCCTCTACAAAAGAAATTTTTTGATTGGCTAAATTTTTAAATAAATAATAAATAATGCTTAAAATATTTCCGCACTAAAAGTTTATAGCAATTTATTAATTTTTAATAGATTACATGAATCATTGATTGAAAAAAACAAACTCATACTATCCAAAATACTAGATTTTTTGATAGGAATAACAAAAAAAAATGAGTCACAACGATAAAGAAAAGAGAATATGTAAATAAAAAAAGAAAAAAAAAATGAGGGTGAATGGGAATGAAAGAAACAAAAGGGGAATTGAAGGAGGAACAAAATGGAGTGAAAAAAATGAAAGGGGCGAAAAAGATCAAGTGGGAATGGAAAAAAATGAAAAGAATGAAAAAGAGACAAGATGGAGCAAAGGGGAAATAAAAAGAATAAAGGGTAGTGTAAAGGAATAAAAAAGATGAAGCGGAAATAGAATAAAACAAAAGGAATGAAGGGTAGTGTAAAGGAATGAAAGAGACAAAGTGGAACAAAAAAAAATAAAAGAAACGCAGAGAAAATAAAGAACAACAGAAAAAATAATGAAGAAACGAAAAAGAACAAAAAATGGAGAAGGAACGAAAATGAGATAAATAGGGGACCAAGTAAAAACCAAACCCATAAAATAAAAGAAGAAATAAAGTTAGTAGGGAACGGAAATTACATGTAATAAATAAACGAAAACAAAAAAATAAAAACATATCTTAGTAGTTGCAGAGAAGAACTGAAAGATCTAAAAAGAGTGAAATACAAAATGTAAGAAATGAAATATAAAAATGAAATAAAAAATAAGAAACGGCCTAGTGCTGGACATATATACCTTAATTGCAAAGCCAAAAGAGCTAAAGGACTTAAAAAAATGAAATAAAGTTAGTAGNATATAAGAATGAAATAAAAAATAAAAAGAAACGCCCATATAATGCTGGATATATATATATATCTTAATTGTAAAACTGAAAGAACCAAAGACTTTAAAAAATGAAATAAAGTTAGTAGAAAACAAAATGCAAGAAGCAAATAAAAAAAAAGAAAGAAAATGTACCTTGAGTGCCGTGCAAAGGAGCGAAAGGCCTAAAGAAAAAAAAGATTATTTAAGTACGTTTAAAAAAAAAAATAAACATAAGAAATGATCAGTATATTAATTAACCAATAAAATTTAAATGAGGTAATATCACCGGGTAAATTATATAAAAATATATAAAATTATCAGGTTAAATCACCCTAGGTGAAAAATTGCTAAATCACCCTGGGTGAAAATTAGTTATAATCAAAAAATTATTTAATATATAAATTAAAAAAAAAATAAATAAAAAAAAATAAAAAGAATAAATAAATAAAAATAAATAAATAAAAATTAAGGAAAATTAAATAAAAAATAAAACTAATAAAAGGTATATAGAAATTAGCTAATTTAATAAGATGAAAAAATTAGATCTTACAATTAGATTTTACAATATACAGTATATATATATTTTTTTCTTTTTCATTTTATTTGTTTCCATTTTTTGACAATGTAAATCATATTTAATGTTATTTTTTTAGAATAGTTGATAGAATAATTTTTTTTTTAGAAGTTAGATTTTTTTCATTTAAAATGAGTAATGTAATTTCTTTATAGAAGTTTATCCTATAGGTTTGAAAGGTTTTCATTTTTATCATAATTTAAAAAAAAAAATAAAATAAAATAAAATAAAATTATAATATATTTTATAGTAATATTATATTTTCAGAAAAAATATTTTTATGTAAATATGTAATAATATACTTTCTTTTTAGTAATTTTTTCATAGTAAATATATTGATTATTACTTATTATATGATATATTAAATTTTTTAATTTTTGAATAAATATCGCATAAACTTTATATATATATTATAGAGCTTTTAAAAAGAAATGTATTATATACATTTTTACTTATTCTACAACTTTACTTAAAAATTAAAATATAATTTAGAATGGTGTTTTTAACTTTTATATATAAAATATTATAAAGAATGCATTGTAATATACCTGTTTATAAAATTTAAACCCATATTTTTATAAATTATATATAATTTATTTATTAACAATTATTTAAATATTTAATAATTTAATTCTAATAATTTTTTTTTATTTTATAAAGTTATAAATTCATTAGTAGATGAAGCCTTATTGTACCATTTTGCTGATAGGTGGAGGAATCCTGTAAGAATTATAGGGGGATTTAGTTGCTAACAATCTTTTAGTTGTTGATACTTCTATAATGGTAATATGAATATTTTGGTGTATTTCAGCTTTATGTTATAGTGATTTTAGGTTTTTTACGGTTAGGTTGAAGGATTTAGGTAAATTTCATAAGGTGTAGCAATACACAGGTATAATCTTTTTAATATCAGTCTGATTAGGAGTTTAGTAGTAAGTAGTTGTTCATTATAGTTTTAATGCTTTTGTATTATTGCTCTAATGAAATAAACCTTACTAATTGCATTGCTTGTACCAAAAAAAATAAAGTTATAAATTAAAAAAATTATTTAAATTAAACTATTAAATGTAGAAACAATTGTATGCTTTTATTTTATATTATATAAAATATATAACAAAAAAAAATTACTATTTAAAAATAATATTTTTATATAATTTAAAACGTTAAAAATACTTTATTCTTTGCATTTTATAAATTTTATTGATTTTATTACAAGGTATTTACAAAAAAAAATTTTGTTTATTTCAGTTGTATTTTTTTTTAAAAAAAAAAACATTCTGCTATACATTTATTAATTTAAAAATAACTAAATATATATAGTAATAAAGTAAAATAAATATCTTTACAAAGAATAATTAATAAACTATTTATTATCTTTATTGAGATTTTATATAAACATAGTCAGGTATATTACTCTAACTATACAAGTAAAAGAGTTCAAAAATTCTAATATTTTAGTATATAATAGGATTTTACTTATTTATAATAAAAGTTACCATAAAAAAATTGGCCTTTTGTTAATAATTTTTACCTTACTTCTTCTTAAATTCTATTAGTTAATTAGCTAAAAAAAAAAATCATAATAATGTAACATAAAATTTCTTTTATAGTAAAATTTGTAAAAAATTTCTTATTTTAGATTTGAAAGTAATATATCTTATAAGTAAACAAAGTTCTTGTATAACACTTTATAATTTAAATATAACAAACTTATAAAACTACTTTTTTCTATGACTTGTATTATCATATATTAGTAAAAATCAAGGTTTTCCATCTAAAGTAAAATGGCAAGTTATGACTATCAGATTGCATTTAGATTGCAAAAGTTATTTATTTATTTGTATTTTTTCTTACAATATTTTTTAAATATTATATAAAGAAAATTGCTAAAGCTCACCAGCGGTGATTATCACTATACCAGCATTAAGATGCACTTTTGGCTTAAATTAAAATTTAATAAAACACTGACTAGCATTACATTATAAATCCACCTCACTACTGATGATATTTAGCAATACCTTTATATAAAAAATAAAAAATATATTTATTTTATATTTAAATAATAAAAATTAAATTTATAAAATATTAAAATAAAGAATTTATTCTTTATTTTGAGATAAACAATGCTATTACTCATTCTTTTAATTAGATAATCTTGTAAAAATTTAATTATTTAATAATTATAATAATTATACTCTTTATATGAAATCACTTAGATGATTTCACTCATATATAAATTTAATTAAATTATTAAGATTATTTTAGAAAATAATTAATATCAGAAAAATTAAATGCATGTAATTAATAATTTACTATATCTATTCCTTTTAAATTATCCAATTAATTTTTAATGTGAAAAAATGTAAAATTTATATGTACCATTCTATATAATTTTAAGAATCCAAGCAACATGGATTTTATTTTATGAAATATATATGTTTATGTAATAAAATTACAAAAATCAGTCTTTTTTCCTGAATTTTAAACTTGTGAAATGGGCTAAATAAAATATTTTTATTTTTATATTTTAAATTAGAAATAATTTTATAAAATGAATAATGTTATACTTTATTTTTATATAAGGCTAAGGTATAATATATTAAAGAATTCAGAAAAATTAAAAAAATATATTTAAACTATTTTTCAGTATTTCTTGTTTTGAATTTATAAAACCATTAATTTAATATATACTTTCCAACAAAGTATTATTTATTAATTCATCACAAATGAATGCATTTATCACCATTTTATTCATTTTATTCATTTTATTTTACTAGAAACATCACTCACTATACTTTACTCTCTGTAATATCCCCGTACAGTATATGGCTATATGGCTATATGCAAGTTACCCGAGTGGTTTTTTATTAAAATGAACAAAAAAAGAATAAAATCATTCCTCTCCGATTATCTGATCTATTTGATCATAATACTTAACCTGATTTAGTACTTAAAAATTTTGGTATGTAAAACTTAAAAAATATAACCTCACGTGATAATTAACCAATCGTAAGTAGTTACACGTGAATTTAATGTAATGTGAGACAAATAGAATTTCGACAAAAAGAACGTACCAAAATACATTAACGCATAATCTCCCTAAAGGTAGTAGTGTACAAAATTTCGCCAAAATTTGGATAAAGTTAATCCTTGTATAGTATCTATAATATCCTCTTCCCCGGTCCGGGGTAAGCATGTGAGCATCACATGATGAATTTATTTATTTATTTAAACACGTGAAAAACTTTTCTAACAATCTAAGCCGAAAAATCCATGGTTTTTTTTATTATAAAAACGAATGTGTAAGATGTGTAAAATGTGTAAGATGTGTAAGGAATACATGGAAGAAAAAAAAAAATTAAAGAGAGAAAGGAAATAAAGATTTAAGAGGAAAACCAATAAATTTGTTCCTAATTTATAACATTAATTTGAATCGAAAATTAATTAATTAATTAATTATATACAAAAAATTTATAACATATTTACATAAAATTTAGTTTTTTTTTCTCATTTCTTTGGTCTTTATAATCATAAATTAATCATTAGTATAAATCATAAAAGTTTTTAATGGTAAATTTTTTTTTTCCATATATTAGTCAATACCCAATTATTCGAACGAAAGAAAGAAATAAAAATCGAATCTTATTACGAAAAAGAAAATCAAACGAAAAGGAATGTAAATTAAAAAATCTAAACTCGTTCACATACGAAATAAAACGTAGATGATTTCGAATCTTTACAATTTTTAAAAAAAAGAAAGAATTAATACAAAAAAAAATTCGAATAAATTTAAATGTTTTGAATTTAATCAATTTAATCTTTTTTTTTTACCTGAAAGAACATAACTTTTAAATTTGATTCTTAATAGGAATCTATTGAATCCATTGAATCAAAGATACATGAAGTTGGTCTTTTAAAAAGGAGAGAGAGAGAGAGAGAGAGAGAGAGAGAGAGAGATTTTTTTTTGTTTTTTTTTTTTTTGTGGTGGATATATAATTGATATAAACCACAACCTTTAAAATTGAGAAACTTTTAACGGTCTTATATAGTTGAATTTGACATAAGTTACTAAAATAGAAAAACCTTAACAATTTTTCCAATTCGTCTGATGAATCTGATGAAAGATTTTTCTTGATGATCCGTCCGATCACTTATACTTACGTACGTAAATATAATTAAAAGAATTGGTTCATAAAATTAAAATTCTTGGACATACTAAAAATAAAAAGGAAAAAATTTTTTTCTTACTAGTAAAAATTGAGAATACCAATGGGATAAGATTCAGCCAAATAACAAAAAAGCATCATGGCATCATTCATGCTTGTAATTCCTTTCAAAATCAAATGATAATTATTACGCGAAGCAAGCCATCATTCCAGATCTTTAATAATCTTTAATAATATGTATTATATGTATTTCAATTCCCGTGCTACAAACGAATTTGAATAATTCATTGAAACTTAAATGTGTCTGACAAATATTAATAATAATTTTACCTAATAATATCACATGCATTTTTTATCGTAAAACATTACAAATATTCATTAATATATCAAGGAAATTTTTATGTAAGCTGGAATAAAAAGGATAACCAATGATGATAATATTATAAGATTATAATAACTTTTTTAAGATAATCAAAATGCCTTATCAAATTATATAGGGAAACTTTTATTTCCCGCCATTCAAAAAATAGACGAGTCAAATTTGATGCACCCCCTGCATAGACACTTTTATAGGCACTTCTTTTTTTAAAATGCATGAATTTCTAAACTAATTTATACTTATTATATATATAAAGATATAATCTGCATATATTTTCTATCACGGGAAGTTCATTCAAAATTTTATTTATACCCATTGAAAAACTTTTATGTCCGCGATTTTGAACTTTATCATAAAAAATGATCGGTTGAAAATATGAAATAATAAAATAAACTAACTTAATTTATATATATTGAACATGACTAACAAGTTTAGTCATAAAATTACGCGTATAATTTTATAAAAAAAGAGACTAACTTTTTATTTAACTTTAAAGCCGAACTCGGGGATAATTTTTAGTTGGAAAAACTTAATTAGGATAAGATAAAATAATAGAGCCTAGTAACCTAAATTAGATAAATTAAAAAATTTAAAAATTAAATGAAAAAAATGAATGACCTTTAAAGGCTTTAATTAGCATTAATTATTATTATTATTTTTTTTTTTTTTAATTAAGTCTAAAAATAAAATAAAATTTTCTTTCTTACCTCATTCGCGGTTATTCGGTTACACAAGGGGTACGTTTTTTTTTTTTTTTATTATCTCCACATTGATTTACTTTAAAATCAAAGGACTTAAACCTTTTATTTAATTGATATTCAAGTTGATTTACAAATGATAATGATTGGACGAATAGGAAAGAAAATAAAAGACGGATCATGTAAATTTTCTTTTATGTACATCCGGAGATAAAAGAACTTTATGTAAATTATTACATCGCTTTATTACGTTTGATGTTACACGAAATTTTTAACATTGTTAATTAAATTCACGAAATCCACGTTTTTTGTTACATAACTATTACTAATACCGTTACCTTTGTAGTGCAGAACTGTCTGTGCATTAAAAGAAAATTTTGTGTTTTCGTGTTGTTGTTCAATAATATGAACAAATTTGAACAATTTAAAGTGCAAATCTTATTCGCACATGACAATTTTTTTTTTGTTTTTTTTTTTTTTTTTTTTTTTTT